ACAGACGACCTATCCGCTGCATCGCCGGCGAGCACCTCTCTAGATGAGGTGTTCTACTCCTTCATCCGGAGAGCTCAGGCCTCTGAAGCGAAAGCTGTGTCGGCGCAAGATCCGTTTCTTGGGCGTCACTCCGTTGCGACTTGACCAGACTTTGGCCTGTCCATTACGATGCGGCTAGGACTTGGGGGAAATCGAGCAACTGCAAGGAATGCCTTGTAACCGACCTCAACGGCACCTCGCAAGCATCATCCTCAAAGAAGTTGGAGAACAACCAATCTTGGAGAAGCCCCTGTCTGGTCTCACGCAATCGGATCACACAACAGCCACCGCAACCTGGGACCCTTGCAAGTCAGGTCCCTACAGAGGAGAGTGACATCTCTCCCAGGCCGATGTCAGTGAAGCCATATCTGAGATGTACGACTTGAGAATTGCCTCCGTGATACGCACCGAACCCTAGGCCAACCGATCAGGTCGTCTGCCATAGATTCAAAAGGATGGACTGGTCTGGACAGCTCAATTTTTCATCTTTGACTTATTCGTTAAGTTGACTACAGAAAACAGCATGAAAGACGATCAGGGTAACCAAACAACCAACCAAAGAGGAACCATAGGAGTAGCATTTGGTGTGCGTCGCAATTTGCCATTGTTCTTTTCCACACGACGTTTGAGTCATACAAGGAAGATGCGCCATGCCTACACATCAGATGAAGGATTGCAGATGCCAGCCAACATACTCGACTGCCGAGAGTATGGCAATAAAAGAAGACAGTACATATACTTTTATACTGGCAACATGCAGGGCAAGCGTCAGAGCCGAAGCCGGCAATGTACTCAGCACGAAACGCACCTGTCGGCTGCCATACACACAGATGCCTTGCTCAAGGGCCAAGTCAAATCAAGCGGTGAAGGATTCATCGTCATCGTCGATTCCCGTTGTCTCGCTCGCTGTTATTGCGAACCTCGGCTGCATGTCTTTCATAGTGAAGGAAACCCTACCATATCATCGAACCGACATTGAGATGCCGATGCTACTTGGGCAGACTAGCATCACTCCGCAAACGATAACCTGTGTCAACCTAGAGGAAACTCTGATGTTGGGGATCCAACTAACACATGCCCATGTTATTTACACAGGCTTCATCTTTCTGGCCGTAGATCTTACTTACGGTTCGTTGTCAAAAGAGATCCCAAGACTACTAGCCGGCGATGTACACTTCTCCGTGAGGTGCCACACCAGCCACAAACCATTTCACATTCAAAAGCCGCTGCGGCCTGCCACATTGCGTAGGTAGCTGCCTCATGCTCACGCCAACTCATCGCGAAACACAACACACCAATCCCGAGAAATCAAGTTATCAAATGGCTACCACATGCCAAAAGTCGATGCTGCATATCATGGCTTTTTTCATGACAAAATTCCCAACACCCTCAAGAAATCACGAAAAGCAGTGAAACAATATCTGCGTGCCATCATCTCACCCGCATCGCAGCCCTCATCAACAAAAATTCTCGTTTTCTCCCTCCTCCTTTCCCCTCACACTAAAAAAAAGCCACAAAACAAAACACATGTGAATATTGTCCCCTCGTCACAGCAAATCAATGAACATATTCATCACGTCAAATCCGTTCCCCGTTTGGTTTTAATCTCACCGCCAATCGATCAGGCAAGTACTCTTCGAATTGGAGGGGAGCACGACGGGATGCGCTGCAATGCAGTCAATAGACAGACAAGATATGGGAGACCGGAAACAAATAGCAGCGAGAGAGTGTGTGCACGTATGTGTGCCGCACCACCAAGCAGACCGTAGAGAGAGGCAAGTACATCCGTTCTTGGACGATGCAGTGCGCTGGGTGTCCCATTGCGCCCACCTTTTCCCCTCCAGCGTCACAATCATGGGCTGGCCTGGCCTGGTTGGAGGTGCCGCCTCCAACACCATCACCACCAACACGATCAACACCACTACCACCCGGCAAACGGACACCGAGTCGCCCAGTAGTTGAAGCCATCTCCATGTCGCCATATGCCGTGACTGCTATTTGCCGGGCTTCATCTTCCGCACATGTCGGTGTCATTATGAATGCCTGAGGACGAAAAAATGAAGAAGACAAAAAGCAAGGCTCATACTTGGGAATCTATATGTATGGGAGCACACATAAGGCGGTTACAACATTACGAGGGGTTTTGTGTGAAGGGTAGCCTCAGTCCATGGCCGTGACGGTTTGGGGTTCGAGGACATGCCGCCCCCTCCCCTCCTTCGGACACGTTTCCGTGACCCGTCCTCCGCAAATACCAGGTCGCCCAGTTCACTAGAATGTGCTCGTCGCCAATCGGCTCGCCGCGTTTCTCGCATCCACCCGGTCCTCGTCGTCTTCTTCCGCCACACCGGCCAGATTCGCCCGGCCAGCCGCTGCGCCAGCGCCACCCTTGTTCTGTCCTGCACCCTGCCCGTCGTCATTCTCTCCGTCCTCGGGGACGCCAGCCATAAGACTGCCAGACACGCTGCGGCTGAGGGCCTGGTCTGAACGTCGTGGAACACCGCTCCATGCGTCGCCCTTGGGACCCTGGCTGGCCGCCAGGCTGGCCCGCCGGACGGTTGGGTGAGCCTCGCGCCCGAGACGGCTCAGACCGCCGGATGCGTCAATGGATCGGATATCCGGTCTCACGCTCTCCAGAACGGCAAGCGCGCGACGTTCCGCCTCGATCTCGCGCAGGACGTACTCCCTGATGCTGAGCCGCAGATCCGCCGCGGTCCTCGCGAACCACTTTCGGCGCTCCTGCACGAGGTTCTGGGTGACGCGGGTCGTCTTTTGGTACAGGTAGGTCTCGTTCTGGCGCGCATCATCGAGTGCAGTAATAGCCTCATCGACCTTTTCGCGTCTGACGTTGGAGCTCGCCTTGAGTCGGTCCGCGGCGTTGAGCTTGCTGCGTGTTTGCTCCTGTGCTTGGAGGAACTCGCGGATGAGAATTTGGCGGTTGGTCAGAGATTCCTTGACGACAAAGGCGTCCTGGGAGTGATACTGGAATGGGTCACCAATTGTCGTAGCTTCTGCAGTGGCTTGTGCGGCGTGGTAGTCGCCAACGGTCTGTACGATCTTGCCGAGCTTTCGGTAGGCGTTGGCGAGTCCTTGATGGGGCTCTTGGATGGTCATGGAGCCAAGCTTGACGCCAAAGTCGGACTCAGCCAATCCGAGTCCTGCGCTATGTCAGACCGGTGAAGGGGATGCGTTATCGGGTGGTTGACGTGGACTTACCGCGACGAGACTTGACCAGCTTATCGACCTTGTGGCCAGCGTCCATAGTCCCCAGGTAAAAGAGCTTGACGATTGGGCGAGCTTCTTGCAGCTCCGGGGTGTCATCGGGTGGAGGGGCAAACTGCTTGAGGATCTTTCTGCGGACGCCGGTCGCAGGCTGCTTCATCTTAACCATGGGGCTGTAACCAAAGTCGCTCTCAACAAATAGCACCATCTCGTCGTCCCTCATGAGAACCTCGTTGCTGCACACATAGTTGAACCATCGCTGAAGAAGGGCCTTCACCCGAGCTTCGTCTTCGTCCGTTCCTGCGCCGGCCGATGTCACCGCGGGAGGCACGGTAGGTACCAGACACTCGGGGTTCGCTGAGATCAGATGTTCGGCAAGCTTGACGAATTCGGAGTGGAATCGGCGGACATCGCGGTACTGCGTGGTGCGGAATCTCGGGAGGTTTGTCTGCGGCCGCAGGTTAGTCAATCGTCCATCCACAACCAATGTGCTACTGGGCATCTCCTACGTGAACATCGAATCGCAAGATGGGGTCCTTCTTTCCGGTCCTCTCGAGACCCGTGATCTTGGCCTGGAGCCTGTACTGGGGCTGCTGAGGCTTGCGCTGCTGCTCCTGACGGGCCTGGCCACCCGCGCTCTGTGCAGCTTCTCCTTGTTCTTGCGACTTCTGAGGCGTCTCGGGTCCCGCCTCGCCGCTTGTCCGGGCTGAGTCGACCTCGGTCCTGGACTCTTGCGTTTCCACCTCGGTCGCGGACTCGGTGCTCGTCGCGGTGTCGGGTCTCCTGAACTCGCCGCCGAAGCCTTCCTGGTCGCCGTTTCCGGGGTTGGGGCTGTAGCGGAAGGGGGAGCCGGGCTGCTCACCACCGAGGTCCCCGGCGATGGAGCCAAAGGTGGTTTGATTCGGGTTGGGCGAGGAGCCGGGAGAGTTGCCCCAGGGCGATGCGCCGCCCGGGTTGTCGTCGTGGGAGATTGCGCTGTAGTCCATTGTCGGTGGGCGATGGTCCTCTTGTCGTCGTCGTTGTCGTTTGTTTTGGGGAGGATGCGTTTGCGTAGTTTACGGGGTTATGCGTGGAAACGGAATCACGACTGGCCGACAAAGCCGATGCGGGGAATGCGGGAGTAGACGTCAGTTGGGGATTCCAGACGTCAGGCCATCCATTGACTGGGCCGGCGACACGGATTCACTGAGATAACTGTTATTTGGGAACAATTCCGGATACACGATGGGTGTGTGTAAGCTTTCGCTCGACGGTATCCGTTCGGGGGTAGGCGGAGAGGGTCGAGGGAGCGTGTGATGTTGCCAGACCGGGGAGCTTTTCTCCACGCAGCTGCCTTGAATTGGCTCTTACGAAGCCGGCGGGCAGCAGAACCTCAGGTACCTGACCCTACGATTAGGCTGCGCAGTACCGTACCCAGCAGGTGCAGGTGGTGTAGCGCCGACCTCCGTGAAAGACAGGACCTGTCGTTGATAAGTGGGGCATTAGCGATCGCTGAACCAAAGCTCGGGCCCGCTCAAGAAGGCCTGGAAAGTGACGACACACACGCCGTCTCGCCGTCGCGCCTAACTCATTCTGACAGCTTCAGCTCCGACCAATAGGGACTTTGCGTGGCACGACGAACACGACCAACTTGATCAGCCTTGCGCGCAGGACAATCCGTGGTGCGAACAGGAAGAGGGGGAGGGAACGAGCCGATTGACGCGCCGAAGAGAACGACGACTGCGAGCGCACATCCACACACAATGGCGCACATGACCAACCCGCTGGCCACCGCCGAGCAGCTCTACAAGCGCAACACCTTCAGCTCTCTGCCGGCCGACCTGCAGGATGTCATCTTCTACGCGACGCAGATCTTGACACAGGCGGCCGGCGTCCTGCTGGACCTCCCGCAGTCGACCACCGCGCAAGCCAATGTCCTCCTTGCGCGGTACTGGCTCGTCGAGTCGCCAATGGCGCAAGAATTCAGCGTAAGCCATTCACCACACTGGCTTTGCTACTTCTCGTCGCAGAGACGCTAACACACTGCCTTCGCCAGGACATCTCCGCCGCTGCAATCTACCTCGTCTCCAAAATAGGACCCCTCCCACGCTCGACGCGCGACCTATCCAACGTCTACGCCTACCTGCTATCCTCCGCATCACCCCTTTTCCGCAGCGAACAACCCCCAGATCTCAAGACCAACCGCCCGGACCCGACGACGTATTACCAGACGGACGGGGAGTACGCCGCCTTCCAGACGCGGATGCTGGCCGCCGAGGCGCGGCTGCTGTGGGCCCTGGGCTTCGACACGGCGGTCTCGCTGCCGCACTCGCTCGCCGTGACGTACCTCCAGGCGCTAGACTTCCTCGGCAAGCCCAAGGCCGAGGTCGCGGGGCGCGTGATTGCGCACCTGAACACAGCGCTGCTGAGCCCGCAGATGCTGTACCTCACGCACCAGCCCAATGCCCTCGCCACGGCGGCGGTGTACATCGCTGCGCGGGACGTCGGAGCCAAGATGCCCGAGGTGGCGTGGTGGGAGGTGTTCGATGTCGAGCGGGAGGAGCTCGGGTTCCTCGTCGTTGGCTTCCGGAGTCTGGAGGGCTGGGTGAGGAGTGTAAAGGAGACCGGTTTGCTGAGTGCTGGCATGATCACGAGGGGTGTGATCGAGAGGGAGGCCAGGCGTAGGGCCGGCGAGGGAGATGAGGAGGATGAGGTCATGAGGCTGATGGACCAGAAGACTGCATAGAGATTTGCATGGCGCTTTGAAATAATCTACTGTGAGAAAAATAGACTGATACCCATTCCCATTCAAACTTGACCGCTAGAAATGGCCCTCTCTGGGTGTTCAGGGGTAGGCTTAGGTAGGCTGCGTCCTGTTGGGGTGAAGTTCTCAGATGGCTAATCAGAAAGGCCTTAACGATCCGGGATGGTATAAATGCAAAACAACAACACCAACAGGGCAAGCAAAAGCAAAAGATTCGATTCGAACCTTCAAGCTCCAGCAAGTAGGGTTAGTGTGATGACCAGGGCGCTAACACCGCTGTAGATCTGACCACTGGGCCATTTCGCCCTCTCGGTGTTGAAAACGCTCACTTCAAATATCACTAAGTCTCCCCAGCTGGTGGTATTAGAAATTCATCGCTGCCTTTAGATAATCTCCCTAGTGCTGGACCGGACGAGGAGCCAACCAAATGGAAGGAAGGAAAAGGATCACCAACAGGGATTGACTGGAAACCCTCCCACATACTAGAGCAGCCAAAAGCCTGCGAAGAAAATGCTGTTCGATAAATTCGTTGCCGTGATGAGGCATTGGCTATCCGACGTTCACCGATGAATCCCCTCCCATATCATTGACGCCGTGTCCGAATAACTTTGCCCTGCTGGATATTGCCCAGCTGCTCCTAACCGAAATGTACCCATCCATGACTTCATCCAACTCCATTTGTCGCTTGTCTATAGCCGTCCGGCCATGACTTCCTTCTTGAAAATACGCACGTCCCAAACGTCATAAAAATGCACTCCCTCGACAGTCTCAAGTTTCGTGTTGGCAACGATGTCGGTATCCTCGTCATCGCTGTCACTGTCCGTGTCCCAGCCCGGCATTGGCAAGGGTGGGAATTGCTCAGTGCCGAGTCCGCCAAATCCTCCTGGGACGGCACTGGCTTTGGCCTTGCCCTTCTTATTCTTCTTCTCTTCCTTCTTCGCAGCGGGGGTTTGGGGAGGAGGACGGATAATGCGCTCGACCCTGTCGTCATCGATGGAAATCCACTCCAGCTTCAGGTGCGGGTAGTGACACAGGTTGTCGACGATGAATCTACGGGTCTCGCGCATAACCCAGACGCAAGTATCATCATTCCTGAACTGAGTGACATTCAGTGCTCGCAGATTGACCAGTCCTGAAATGTGCTGCATGAATGTATGCTTTTGAAAGTTAGCTCACGCCTCAACCTGTGAGAGGATGACAGGGGATACTTACGATGGCGCGGATTCCAACAGCCGCCGCCAACTCCTCGAGTTTTCTTCCGCGATTGCAAATCAGCAGCATTGCTCTCTCATCCACATCCCAGCTTGATCCTGAGTCGTTCTTGATCATTAGCTTCGTTAGAGTCGGCATGTGCTTCTTGAGTACGAGCCTCCGGATTTGGTCCATAATGACATTTGTCTTGGGCGCAAAGCTCTCTGGTTTGTACTTGACCGATCTCTCCAACATGAATAACTCTGTGATTTCTTCCAGTTGTGCAGCAAAGGTGAGAAACGTGCTTGAGACATTATCTGTGAAAATCTTGCGCAATGGGAGTCCTTGGATTTTGTTCTCCTTAGCCAGCATAGTCCAAATAGGATTTTGGTTGCCAACATTGAGCAATGTGAGCCTTTTGAGCACACGCACGTCAATGGCTGCTTTGAGAACTGATGCCTTGACCGGGATCAAGTGGACACTGAAAGACCGAAGGGCCAGTCCCCTGGTTGACCTGATATAGTCGCTGATGCGCTCATCTTCGCCGTGGGCCGTCGTAGCTATACCATGAACCTGCTTTTCCACATCGCGAATCTCAGCCTCGGTGGCATTGAGTTCGACTCTCACATTCTCAATATCCCGATAGAAGGAATGCAGCTGCTTCTCAGAAGCACGGATGTACTCCCGGTCATATCCATATGCTCCGTTTCTCAAGCTGTCGAGTTTCTCTGACAGGAGAGTGGCTTCGCTAATGAGGTGCTGCAGGCGGGCGACAAGTGTTTCAAAGTTTGCTCTTTGCTTTGCCAAGGTTGAAATTGCTCGAAGTTTGGCTGGTGATTCGCCAGTCTCGGGTTTTGATTCGGTCTGCTTCAACACTGCCTCCGCGACAGCTGGAGAATCATCCTTGACTTGATCGTTCTTGGGTTCTGCTGAAGGCTCCTCGACCTCTTCGGTCGCGATCGGCTCCTCGACGTTAATATCCTCGGGGTTCGCATCCGTGCCCGATTTCGCCTTCGACCTCGAAGTATCATCAGCTACATCAGCCGCGACAGCACCGGCAGTGGCAGTAGCAGCAGCGTCAGAGCTTTCAGCAGGTGTGATTTGCGTTGTATCTGTGGAAGCAGCGCCTGGGGCCGCAGAGGAACTCTCGCCCGATGATGCCTGGGTTGTCTTTGACGCCTCTTCGGCTGTTTTTGCGGTCTCGACCTCCTCAAGATACTTCCTGCTTGCTTTCTCAATGATTTCCAACACCTCTTGCTTGGATTCGTCGTCGGCGTGGAGGTTCATGGCCATCAGCTTCGAGGAAACTTCCCGCAAGCGGCTCATGTACGCTTCTCCGGCTGTCCCAGATCTGGCCATCACAGCGTCCGCTGACGCAACCTTCTCTTTACCCTTTAGACTCTTTCGTTGCTGGGGCTTTTTGTTCAAAAAAGGCTCAACGTCGAAGATCCTTCCAAGTACTGACTCTTGGCTCTTTCGCTCCTCTTGAGCGCGAAACGCCTTCGCAGGCCCACTTGCTTCGTCCCAGCCAGGCGCTGAAGGCATGGGCACTACTTGAAATTCGTCATCTTGGTCGGAGTCGTCAGGATCTGCATCAGGAGGCGGCTTGCGAGACTGCGCAGCAAGACATGTGGAGAATGACAGTTTCAACTTGGTAAGCGTTGAGGCTGAGTTACGAACGCATGACTTGATCTCAGTAACTACGTCCAAGTTGTCGATATCAAGCACAGCGAGTGTGTTTAGCTTTCGGAAGCCGGATAGAGTCGCAGGTTCATTCGCGGCGGAAGTCCTCTTCTTGTTCCTAGGTGCAGGCCTAAGAGCAGGTGGCAAGGGAGGTGGAGGACCAAGCACAGGATTGTACGGAGGAGGGACGGACAACGGCATGGTTGGAAACGAAGGAGGAATGGCAGAGAAAGCGGGCGGGAGAGGATCCCAGTGTCCTTGACTGGTGGTAGGCGGCAAGCTCGAGGTGTACGGGAGCGGAGGAGGTATCTCGAACAACGAAGGGCCGGCTTGCATGCGAATGTGGAGGTTCTTGAGGGGCGCGATCTGGTGTAATGTCCTGTAGACGGGCCGGCTGAGTTCGACTCGAATGTTCCACCTGTGTTGCACAAAGTCAGCGTTGACCATCAACGCAGCACGTACAAGACTGACCTGAACGTCTCGAGAGACTTGGCGTGCTGGAGGGTCATTTGCAGCAAAGTGTTCATAAACTTGCCGCAACTTGCGCTGTACAAGTAGGGCTTGTAGGCAGCCTCGGCCTTGTCCCCAGCACTCAGGGTATCCAGGGATATGTCTCTCAGATGTTGAGCGTAGTCATAGTCGCTTGACACGAAGGTCTCAAGTCCACCGGCGAGACTATCGATGGGGGAGTCGAAGGACGGGTCATCTTCGTCGGGGAAGACTATGTGGAAGTTTCGATAGAGCTGAGCGGCAGCAAGTTCGCGAAAGTGCTTGGAGACAAGGGCGAGACAGATGAGGTCGCTTTGGCAGCACTACGAAGGATGGTCAGCACATTGTTGTCGCATAGCGCCGAGAGGATTTGGGAGGCGGGTTCGTACGTGGCTAAAGATGTCCTTCTGGGTTTCTAGAGGCAGCTCGAGGAAAGCAAGAGGTTTGCGCTGAGGGGCGACGATGGTGGCCTCGTCGCAAGGCTCGACAGAGGCCATGCTGGGTGAGGGCGATGGTTGGAGACGTGGAGGATTGGAATGTGGCGGCGCAAAGAAGGAAAGCGATTCGAAGGTAAGGGTCGTCGATGTATTCAGCAGGGCGTGGCGGGGTATTGCGCCGGCGTCTAAACAAGCCAAGTAAGGTGAGGTGAGGTAGATGGGTATTATTGGAATACGTGACGATGTAGACAGGCAAGGCCAGAATACCTGGAGGCAGCAGAAAGATGTCGATTCCGTCTCGTCGAAATTCAAGGAAGGGTCTCTGCCTCGTGCCCGCCTCGTTGAGTGGAGGGTTGGCGATTGGGGAAGGCAAGACACATGGAAGACCAAGACAAATGCAGGAAGACGTGGACTAGTGCCGCTACCGCTGCCGCTGGCTGGTGTTCGGTGCCAGTGCCACAATACGTACCTAAGGTCCCTACCAGCCAAGCCAAGCCAGTCTGCACACTCGTCACCTCACTGATGGGTGCAGTCTCCCACCACACCTGAGAGTGCGGGTGGCAGACCAGGCCGCCCTCTGGACGAGAGAACGATGCGCCCGCCCTCGGCCCACCGTGTGCTCCAAGAATCCAAGGACATTCCCCGGCCACTCCCTGCTCATTGTCATTGTGGTCCGCCCCGGGCCCCCATCTCCTTGCGCACGGGCGACGGGACAGCTGGGCTAGTGAAGAGGCGCGGGTATTCGTACAGATGCAGGTGCAGCTGCAGCCAGTAGGTAGGTAGCCACCACCCAGTGAACAGTGGAAGATGAGCTTTGCTGTGGTCCATTCGCTGGGAGGCGAGGCGCTCTGGCGGGAGAAAAGAGTTTAGCGCCTCAGCATCTCTCGCAGCAGACGGGACACAGGCAATCTGATCCGGCTCCACCTGCCGTTCCATTGCACCTGGAGGCCTTTGGGGACCGTCTTCCCCCACTGTAATGATCATGGATGTGTGTATTTATACATTTGTTCCCAGTTTGTTCTTTGTCTTTACTCAGGGTAGCATTTGAAACGGGCTTGGTGAGAAACACAACCATGTGCTTTGAGTTGGACGCTGGTGAGTTGGGGTATTAAAGCAACTACTCAGATTCAACGGCGACAGCTCGTAACTACTGCAAGACTCGGGATCGACATCAAAACAGCAGCATGCGTAGATGTGTGTCTATGCGCGAACGATGCAAGGCTGGCAATGACCTAGAAAAGACACATAATTGTAGAACATGTTCCGTTGGCCTTGGTTTCCATTGGCTACCTACCTTTCCTAGGTAAGATGCTAATGACGGGATCTCCCTCACAGCCTGGGACATGCTCCAAGTGCATGTCTTAGCAGTGGCTGAAGTCTGAAGTCGACATGGGTCGTCTAGTCTTGGCTCAGTCACGGCAGCTTACGTTTGTCGTGTTGTTAGCGTCGCCATAGGACTTCCTTGCCTCGTAACACGGCGCAATGACGCCTCCGTGGAGAACGAAGTGGGCAGATGGGTTTCTGACTGTCTGTTTCGGGACGTTCATCGAGTGGGTTGCCAATTCGCAAGTCTTGTGTCAGTTGCACAAGATGAAGTCTAAGCCCCGCACGTCTTCAACATGGCAAGGCTCCCTCTGAAGACCTCAATCAGATTGCCATATCTTCAACGCAACTGTCAACTTCTCTGACATTATTCCATCATTACGAGGCACCCAAGAATACATAGCGGCGATCGCCCTTAGCGTGTTCGTCCAGGGGGAGATCCCCACAGTTCCCCCACTAGCAAGGCTGGGCTGTGCCGACTGATCCAGACCGAGACGGGACCAACACAAAGGGAACCAAGGGACGCGACCCCACCAACATGGCCCGGGGCCTCGATGGGAAAAAAATAAAATAAGACGAAATCAGACGGCCGTGTTCTGTGCATCTCGTTCTCTTCCTTCTCTGCCGCTAGGTGTTCTTTTTGAAGCAGGGCAGGCAGCCAGAGACATCACGCCCCGTCTTTGATCAATCCATCCCATCTCTCATCCTTCCGCCGTCCGACCCCTGTGCCGGCGATTTCATGCTTCTTCTGCCCTCGGCTGCCCTGGCTGTTGGTGTTTGCTCCCGTTGCTTGCTGCAGTTTGTCTCTTGGGCCTGCAACCTGGGGTCATTTGCAGCATCCATTGGACAGTGCGGTGCAACGCGAACCTTGACGTCCAGTTCTTGTCCCGTCTCGTTCCCGTTCCCTGTCACAGCTTAAGCCTTAAGCTTCAATCTTTCTCGCGCCCCGAGCCTGCCAGACCCCGACGCGACCAACCAGACCTGCCGCTGCTGCCTGCCACTCCCTTGCCCGTCCTCCGTCCTAGGTACCTAAGGTACCTACCACCCTACCAGATCCACCCATTCGAGGCGAGGTACTTGCGGCAGCCACTTTACCTGATTGCAACGGCAATCCAACCCGCAGACACAGCGCAGCGCAGAGCACCTCTTACCACAACAGAGCAGAGTAACAGAGGCTGAGAGCATCGCCACAATCCAACCAACCTCGTCTCGTTCTCACTCTCCCTCTCTCTGTGACACCACCAACTGCTATTCAGCTGTTGGTGCCCGTGGCCGTGCCATCGATCGATCATCCTTCGCTTGTCCAGCACTTGTTTCTGCCTCCGTCCGTCCAACAGCCACAAACACGGCACGGTGCTGTCTGTCCTTTTATTTCCATCTGTCACGTCTTTACGATCCATTAATACGATTATTAACTTTGGCATCCCCCCTTCCCCCTCCTTTGACCTGCAAATCATCCCCCTTTTCAACTACTCGGCAACCACACGACCAGTCAGTCTCTACGGATCACCTATTTAACCCCGCCGTGCCACAATCCCGACACTCGTGAAGGAGCCGTGACTCGGGCGCCGTCTCACTGCCTGCTGCCTATTGCTCAATTGGGTTGGCTCGCCGCGACCAGACAAGGCCTGGATTGGTGGGGAGGAATCCCATACCTGACACCAACAATACCCATTCGCTCAGATCGTCATATAACATCCCACCCGTTCGCGCTCCGACTCGCGACGCCAAAATCCCCCCTTCTCTCAATTCAACACCGCAATCCCAATTGACTTAGTCTTCGCCATGGCCGATGTCGAGGAACCCAAGTTCAACACTCTCGCTGAGAGAATCGCCGCCTTGAATTCCCAGAAAAACTTCCAGGCGCCAGCAGAGACCAAGACCAAGAGGCCGCCTCCTCCACCGCCGCCGAATCGCCCTGCAGCTCGAAGCCAGACACTGCCCGTTGTTCACACCAACGGACAGCCGACTCCTCAAAAGAGCCCGACGATTCCTCCTCGCCCGACCAAAGCAGCAGCTGCAAAGCCCGGCCCACCTCCTCTCCCGCGTCGAACCACCGATTCCTCCCAAGTCGAGCTGTCGACATCACCAGCTCCCAGGGACCGAATTGCGCCTCCCCCTCTCCCTACCCGCTCTAGCACCCAAAACATCTCACCCGCTCTGCCCCCTCGGAGGCCTTCAACCCAGCAGTTGGAAGTCCGTCGCAACTCCAACGCCTCTGAAATTTCTAACCTTTCGTCCTTGTCTCTGAACCAGACAATATCGTCAGCTACCAGTTTTACGTCTGATGGACCCGGACGAAAGCTGCCGCCTGCGTTTGACCAAGCCAGTTTACCAGCATTGCCACCCACAAAACGGGAGCGGGAGGCTCAAGCAAGAGAAGCTGCCGCTCGGGACCCTCCTCAAGCCAAATACCCCCTCGTTTCCATAAAGTCAGCTCCAGTCGTCCGACAAATCGAGGCGCCGCAAAGACCTGCGTTGCCCCCGCGTCTGACGTCCAAGTCAACCAACCAGCAAGTTCAACCACAGGCTTTGGAGGAAGAGGCGCCAGCGAAACCGAGGCGACTACCACCTGCCCCGGCAGCATATGTCAAGCCGCAGCCACAGGCAAATGGCCATGTCCAGGAGCAACAGAGAAACATCCCACCTTTGCCCACTAGGCGACCAGGTGCTGCAGATGATGCACCTCCTCCGGTACCCGTCAGTTCGCGACCCAGCGTAGCACAAATCGAAGCTGTAGAAGCCAAGATTGTGGCCCGCGCCAATGACTGCTTGATATGTCGCGACTTCTCTGGTCCAGATGGTGTTGCAGCTCAGTACCCGAGACAATCTGTGCCGAGGAACGACCCAGTGGGTTACCTAGCCCAAGTACTTTGCGGCCCCTTCTCGTCCCACACCGACAAGGCTAGAGCCATCTTCACCTGGTTCCACCACAATATCGCCTACGACTGCGCCGCTTTCTTCGGCAACAACGTCAGAGCGCAGGGCGGAGCCGAGACCATTCTTAAGGGCAGGGCTGTTTGCGCCGGCTATGCGGATACGTACAAGGAGATTGCCAACCGCGCAGGTCTCGAATGTATTACCGTTGGAGGACATGGAAAAGGTTACGGGTACACGGCCTTGAAGAAGGGGGAGCGTCCTCCGCCTAAGAAGGCCGACGGCCATGCTTGGAACGCTGTGCGCATCGACGGCGGGGAGTGGAAGCTCCTCGATGCTTGTTGGGGTGCCGGAAATGTCTCTGATGTGACGAAGGAGTTTACTCCTGACTTCAAGCCACACGAGTTCACGAGAAGAAACGACATCTTTGGTCTCAGTCACTACCCGTCAGACAACAGGCATTTCTTCCGTCCTGACGGTAGAGTACCAAGTTGGGAGGAGTACTATATTGGCCCCGTTCATGGCGACACTCCCGTCGTCTACAACAATTGCCATGAGGAGGGTATCTGGGACAAGTCCATTCAGCCTGCGGAGCTCCAGATTCCAGTGTATAGCGGCAAGGTGGTTCGCTTCCAGTTTTCCAAGATTTGCGAGCATTGGACTTCGGAGAAGCACGGCTTGGGTAAGCCACCATTGCTCCTGCTGAGCATCAATGGGCGTGATGGTCGCAAGCAGGACATGGTTCCCATCGAGACTGATGGATTCTGGCATTGGGCGGATGTCAATGCAATCGACCTCGGCGCACCGGGTGGCAGCATCAGTGTCGTCATGATCACCACAATTGACGGGCGCGATGCCAGAGGTGTGACAGCGAAGGAGTACTTCTCGAAGAAGGGGAAGGTCGGCATGAGCTGGACCGGTATCATGAAATGGGACCTCATCTGAAAGAGCACACAGGGAATGGTTATACACCACCGCTGACGAATGCAACGGCCGACATATAATGATAATATTTCTCCACGGATACCATTTCACGGTGATTTGGATGGCTTTTAAACCGGAATAGAACGAACTTCAATAAAACATCAACACCATCTCATCGAAACGGGCTTGTATGGTGAAACGGATATTGGAAATAAGCTAACAAACAATCTATGAGGGTATATGCATCACCTGCCTGATTGGCCGCCCGATCTATCATACTAAAGCACGACCAAGTTTTCTACAACACCAGCTTCTGCCACTTGCGCAGACGACCTCCGTAATGGTATATCAGAGTCGGCACCGGGATGAGCGCAATAGCAATGAAACCAAGCAAACTGTTTCCCCAGCCCAAACCTAGAGCGTCGTACATGGGAGGGCCCGCAATAGGCAGGAATGCCGCAACGATGCTGCGGAAAACCGTGAAAGCAGCCAGGCCACTCGCGGCGAAAGTTGGGTACGCGTCGATGATGTACAACTGTATAGGCTGCCAGATACCCAGGATCGCGATGCCGAACGGCAACAGCCCTATGACTGGTGCCGCCCAGTGCGTGTGGTACTGGGTCGTCCAGCCGTACCAGAAGAAGGTCACCGGGAGGAGGCAGGCAAAGTATATGCAGTCCGGCAGGCGCATCTCGGGCTCGTAGACGCCGCCGTTGGCCTTGGTCATGCGCACGACGGTCCTGTCCGAGAGCATCGTGAAGGCGGCCATGCCCAGTATGTATCCCAGGCCGAGCGGGATGTACACCAGACCCGTGATGCCGATCTCGAAGCCGTAGTTGTTGTGGAAGACGAGCGGGATGGTGCTGAAGAGGAGGTACAGCGTGCCGTACGCGAACGCGATGTAGAGGCTGACGCTGAAGATGATGGGCGACAGGAAGAGCATCTTGATGGGCCTGATGAGGCCGCGCACGAGGACCTGGGAGTTGGACTTGGGCGCGGTCGGGGAGGTGTCGAGGTACACGCTGCGCAGCTCGGGGCGGTTCAGCTCGCGGCGTAGGCGGGCGACTTTGCGGTCGATGAGCACGCGCGGGTTGGTCTCCTGGTTGAAGACGGCGATGACGGCGGCCATGGGCGTCGCGGCGATGAAGGCGATCCAGTTGGACCAGCGCCAGCCGATGTCTTGGGCGATGAAGGCGCCGAGGATGGGCGCCAGCGTGGGACCGATCAGGGGGCCGACCATCCAAATCGTCAGCGCTTTGCCGCGCTCCTGCACCGGGATCATGTCCGCGATGACGCCGCCGCCGATCGCGAGACACCCGGAGCCGCCCACGCCGGCCAGGAAGCGGAACACGATGAGGGCGTTGAGAGACGGCGCGAGCGCGCATCCGATCAGCCACGCGCAGAAGAAGAAGTTGGCCGCCGAGAGCACGGGACGGCGGCCGTAGATCTCTGAGAGGGGAGCTAGGAATAAGGGGCCGACAGCTACTCTGTGTCAGTGACATAGCTAATTCTGATAATTCTTACAACACTCACCATAACCCAACAAGTAGATCGAAACCGGCAACGTGCCAAGCGTGAGGTCGTCGTTGCCAAAGTCGTCGTTGAAGTACTCGATCGCGGGCGCAAGGATCGAGGAGGCAAAGGGTGTCATGAAGGTGATGCCGGCGAGGAACCAGATGATGATCCACTTGCGCCGGCGGTCAAAGTTCATGGGTATGGCCGGGTCGTCCTGGGCATCCCAGCCGACGATGCCATTGTCGAGGACGGAGAGCGGGTGGACAGTGGGCGGGAGCTGGTCGCGGGGCTTGCTGCGGCGCGAGGAGACGCGGCTTGCGATGCGTGAGAGGCGGCTGCGGGCGCTGGCGTGGGTGTGTGTTGTTTGTGTGCGCTCGATGATGTCCTGTTTTTGCACAGAGTTTCAGTCATGATGTTTTTTTCCCCAAAAAATTCCCATACTAGACACAATTGAAGCTCCAGACTGAATGGAGTAACAAAAACAAGGATTGTTGGTTGTATCGCACTTCAACATGAAGTCTTGGCGCACGGGGCCTCAGAACGACTGAGCGGGAAACTCACCTCTTGGTACGGCTCACTGTCGGCCGTCTCTTCAACGTCTTCGAAACTCTTTCGCTCCTCCGCCATCTTGGTCTTTTCTCCCTTCTCCAGTTCATCTGAAGAAGCAAAAGCCTGCTCGGCCTCCTTTTCCGCGAGAGTGCCCTGTTCGGATGAGGAGCCCCCTCGGAGCCCGTGGGCGCCGCCGCCGGCGGCCGTGGTGGGATTCGTCTCCACGTCCTTTTCCATGACGGCTGTGGCGAAGTATTTAGGGGCAGAGATGTGGGTTCTGAGGACTTGGCAATCTGAGGTTGGAAGAAAATAAAAGATAGGTTAGGCGTGAAAGAAGGAGAGAAAGAAGAATGCAAGGTGAGTGTAGGTTGAAAGGGAACGATGAGGACCCCGGACAGAGAAATGAGCAAAAGGGTGGTTGATGAGACCGTACACTACAACCCCCCGGCCTCGGCAAGCATGCAAGGCAACGGGCAGCTTGCCATTTTATCCATTTCTAGCCAAAGGCACACATTACTCGGGAACAACGTCAACTGGGGAAATAAGAAAAAGGGTGCTTTAGTAATTCAAACCCCAGCTCCAAAGTGCAGTAGCTTCCCCTTCCCCCTCACCTTCCCACCCCAAAGCCGCATCTACCCTAGGTAGGCAGAGAGGGATGGATGATCATCGAAGAAGAGGGGATGGGCTGGCGGCACGTAGACGTAGAGGTGTAACATGATTTGGCAGGCTTCTTCCTGTCTCTCCCCGGAGAGCCATAAAAATTCCATCATCGCCCGGAGCGGGTGACCTGCAGCGGGTTAGCTTCCGCCTCCCGTTGGCTTGGCCTTAACTCCACGTCTTTATCTCCGCAATTGGTTCCGTTCGGAGACGCCCTTGGCAGGAAGAGGATGAGGAGTAGTAAAGGCCCCCTGAGGGAAGAATCAACGGCAGCAGCCAGCCCCAGACAGACAGGGTGGGAAGAAAAACATTGGAGACGGGTTGCTTGGGGGAGGAATTGGGGGAAAGACGGGGGAGTGTGGTTGGCTCGGAGGGGGGCCGTGGATCTTCCTCGGATCTGAATTCACCGATTTATAACGGAGGCGGTGACTAGAAAAATGCGGGATTCGCGGGGAGATGCTAGTCGCGGAACGAAATGCGACGATCTTCGAATGGCACGCCCTTTCTTCGATTGGTGCTGACCACCAAGTTGACGGATAAACGGCACTTTTGTTGACGGACAGGACGGGTAGAGGCTGCTGGCGTGGAATGCAGCTTAAATCCGTCTCGATTCTTGTGTTGTAGTGCATGCCTTGAGAAGACATGGAGGAATCAATTCCGCAGTTTGGGGCAGGATGACATATCAGGAAGCGCAACGGCTGTCATCTGATGATGAGGCTCTCGTCCTAGTGCTGATATATAGTGCGACTCCTTCGTGTAATATCAGAAACGGCAACTAGAGACTTAGACTTTCAGTTGCAGAGTTCTGAGTTGCGCAGAGACCGAGAGTTGAGAAAACACCAGAAACAAGTCTTTCCCATTCGCCCAGGATGGAACTCTGCCAAGGAACCCCCCTCCTCCAAAGAAAAAACCATCTGCACAGACCAGCCAGGAACAGTTCCCCGGCTCCACCTCGGCTGCCAAACTTAGGTGCAGCTGCCCACTCCTCACTGCCCCGCAGCTCCCGGCAGCCCACAAGTGACATGGAACACTCCGCCCACATGGGAGAGGAACAAGCCTCACGGCAACGCGGCCAGTGGGGAACCAACCCAGCCCAACTGCGGTGCAGCAAACAGGACCCTTTTCTTTCTCCAATCTCGAAGAAACCTCCAGCTGCAACTGTGTCCCGTCGCAAAACCCACGTCGTCACCCACGTCGTGAAAGCCTCAACTCTCCAACCCCAACACCCGCGCACCACTCAATTAGCGCAGCACACAATGAACTTCGGCCGATCATAAGCACGCAAGCAAGAAGAAGGAAAGAAAAGGAAAAAAAGGGGGGAGACAAGCAGCAACCCCCAAAAGAGAAGTCGCGCTGCTGCCGCCCCCGAGCGCGCGCATCGCATCGCAACCCGACAAAATGGCGTCCCCAACCCTCACCCGAAACGAAACCCTCTCTCTCTCCGCCCTTTCCCTCGCGGCCGTCGCGGTCCTCCTCAACACCTTCTCCGGCGATGGCGAGCCCCTCATCGCCTCCCTCGCCCTCTCCGTCCTCGCCTTCGCCCTGGCCTACTCCATGGTCCGCTGGCTCGGCCCCGTCTTCGTCCGCGCCGGCTTCAAGGGCCGCGACCTCTCCAAGCACCACCGCCCCGAGCTGCCCGAGTGCATGGGCGCCGTCTGCGCCGCCGTCTACCTGCTCGTCGTCATCGTCTTCATCCCCTTCCCCTTCTACAAGGACATCGTCGCCGCTACCAGCGGAGGAGGCAACAGGGACGTCGTCTTCCACGTCGAGCATGTCCAGCAGGGTCGCTTCCTGCACCGCTTCCCTCACAGCAAGGTCGGTTGTCCTCCTTTGGCTTCACAGCCCGCAACTATGTAGTATATACTGACACCTTCTGGTCCGACAACAGCTCGCTTCCTGGCTCTCCGCCATCATCGCCCTCCAGACGACCGCCCTCCTCGGCATCGGCGACGACCTCTTCGACATCCGATGGCGTCACAAGTGGTGGATCCCCGGCCTGGCCTCCATCCCGATCCTCGTAATCTACTTTGTCGACTTCGGCGTCACCTCAATCGTCATGCCCATCCCCCTCCAGCCCTACCTGGGCGAGCTCTTCGACCTCGGCATCCTCTACTACATCTACATGGCCTGCGTCGCCATGTTCTGCCCCCAGTCCATCAACATGCTCGCGGGCATCAACGGCATCGAGGTCTCCCAGTGCATCGTCGTCTCCCTCCTCCTCGTCCTCAACGACTGCCTCTACCTCTTCACCCCCTACCCCCACCCGGCCACCGACTCCCACCTCTTCTCCCTCTACCTCCTCCTCCCCTGGCTCGGCGTCTCCCTCGCCCTCGTCGCCCACAACTGGTACCCCGCAAAGGTCTTCGTCGGCGACACCTACTGCTACTTCTCCGGCATGGTCTTCGCCACCGTCGGCATCCTCGGCCACTTCTCAAAGACCCTCGGCCTCCTCCTCGTCCCCCAGCTCTTCAACTTCCTCTACTCCACCCCGCAGATCTTCGGCCTCGTCCCCTGCCCCCGCCACCGCCTCCCCAAGTTCAACGCCCGCTCCGGCCTCCTCGAACCCAGCGTCACCCCCTGGAGCCCCGAGCGCCAGCCGCACCCCCTCGTCGCCCAGGCCCTCCACCTCCTCGGCAAGCTGCGCCTGCTCAAGGTCACCACCGACGACAAGGGCCGCTTCGTCGAGACCAGCAACTTCACCCTCCTCAACCTCTGGCTCGTCTGGCGCGGCCCCCTGAGGGAGGACCGCCTCGCGTGGGAGGTCACTTTCCTCCAGGCCGGCGTCGGCCTGTTCGGCCTGTTTGTGCGGCACCGCCTTGCCCTGCTCATCTTTAAGGAGGACAACTGGGGCATGACGACCAAGCGATACTGATTTTCCTCCGCCTCAAGTTGGGAGCGAGGGTCATTTGCGCCTCTTCTGTGTCTTTTCACGCATATATGATGTGCCTTTTGCTATAAGATGCATCCCCCTTCGACCGGACTGGACTTGCATGTCCATCCGGCTTTTCGTCTTTTCTTGATTCATGGGACGGCAGAGTGGATTTGGCCGTTTGTATCATACGATGGAAAACAAAAGATACCCTGTAAAAGTAAAAACAGACAAAAAATGCCACTTCCGCAGATAGGGCGGGCATATAGACGAACAATTGAACACTTCAAAGAACGACACCCATCTAAGTTCGGATGACACATCGTATCACAAGTTAGAAGGGACAGAATTGAGCCGGGAAAGCAGCGCCGTGGCTGCACAAGTTCATCCATTTGATCCTTTTCGTCGTCGTGGGAGCCCGGGGCGATGCCCGGTGCAAAGCCACTCTCACTGGCTCTGCTATCAAGCCTAGAAATACATAAAGAAAAATTTTTTTGCCACGAGGCAGGTGGAAAAAGTAGAATCCTCTTTTCAACCCCGTTTCCCAAATATCCCCTTTGAAAGCGCTTGTCTCCTTGCCTTGCGTTACGCCAGAGTTCCCACCAGGAACAGAAAAAAAAAGAAAAAGAAAACGCTTCCCATCTGGTTCGACATGAAAAGAGTCGTTCATCAAGGCGGGTGTATGTTTTCGTCCAACATGCCGTGCGTGGCGGTTTTTCCTCTTTCGTAGCATCTCCAAACAGAAATAAAACGCATACAACTGATATCTCCGAAAAGCGCTGACCAGACCGTTTCCCCTGTCCGTCGCCGCCGTAACGCCGAAATGGAACCAGACCGTCCGTCCTTGGGTTTGTGGTATTTAGAGGGGAATGATAAAATGTGGTCGTATCGTCCCGAAAGCATACTTCAACACCGGTCTATATATGTTACAAGGAATTGTTCGCTGCCGCCACTGCCGGAATAGAGTTGACCGCCTTGCCCTGAATAGGTGGCAGGGTCTCAGCGCTCTTCTCCGTCGCTGGCGAACCAACAATGGAGTCCAGATTTGGCTTGGACTCTTCGGTTCCCGTTAGCGACGTCTTCAGTCCGCCAGCTGGCTTCTTGTTCATTCGACTCTTGGTGTAATCGCTCAGGCTCAGCTTCTTCTTGACTGGGCTCGGGTGTGCCGCGACGCCGTTGACAACTGACGGTGCAAATGGGCTGGGAAGGGTGCCCGTGGAGAAAGGCGACTGCACCGTGGTGCTGGCCGAAGAGGGCGTTGTCGCGCTCGCTGGTCCTGTTGTGGGTCCGTTGAACGCCGGAACTGGTGGCATTTGTACCCTGAGCTCAGGCGACTTGGTTTTCAGTGGGCTACTGGCTCCATTGACTTGGACATCAGCAGATGGCTCGGCTTGGACTGGTGACTTTGCTGCAGATGGCGAGCTTGTTGGCGCATCAGTCATGGGAATGTCACTGGTCGATGGGGCCAGGGGAGAACTGTTGGGCCCTTGCTCATTGGTATCCTTCGATGGTGTGGGTGAGCTGACTGATGTTGCTTTCTGGTCCGCCGTAGAATCGATGTCCATTGGTGTCGTCGAAGGCTCTGGAACCGAGGGTGTCGGGAGTGATTTCCGTCTCTCGGCTTCATCGCACCGCAAACGATGCCTGTTGTTCAGCAATCGTTGAGAGAGAGAAATGATTCGGCGGCGAGGCTTCGGCGTCAGAGCTGGTTCACTGTACCACTCTCCTTCCACGGGATCGGTTTGAACGCCAGCGTCGCAGTAGACTGGACGAGGCGCCGAAGACTCACGTCCCGACTGTGTCGCGATGGACCCGTTTCGGGATGCAGGTGCCTTGAAGGGGTTTTGCCCCGGAGGGGACGCCCCATTGACAGGTGAATTTGACTTGCTGCGTGAAGTGCCAGCGTCCACGTAGTTGCCCGTGCCCGTCGAGGCATTGCTGGTCGTGGACTTCTGCTTCGACTTGGTCGATCCGGTTCCATCAGAAGTACGCTTCTTCTTGCGGGGCGGTTGTTGCTCCAGTCGGCGGAATGAATCTTCTACCATCTGGACCTTCCTCTTGTCCCTGTCTGTAGGCTCGGTGAGTATGCCCGGTCGATCCAGTGAGCCCTGGCGTGCGGGGGTACGATCTCGGCTGGGAGGTTTGCTGCGTTCGGAAACCGACTTGCCATCAGCCTCGGGGTCGTCTTGATGACCTTCACTAGCCGCTCGGCTATTTGTAGCCTGACCAGTACTTGTTGGGGAGATAGTATGTGTCTTGGCCTTCCTCTTCTTCTTTGGGGCAATGGGTCGAGACTGCATCTTTGCGTGGTAATGGCGGTGGAAACGGGCGAAAGCACAGTTGGCACCCAAGTCGCACGCACATCCACCGTATTCCGAGAGAATTCGATAGACCCAACCGGAAATCCGCTGGTACTCGACGTCGTTCATATCAGGTTCGTCGCTCGCGCGGGTGTCGTCGTCGCCCAGTCCAAGGAGATGGAGAATGCGTGCTTTTTCCTTCTTCGGAAGTCTGAAGTCCCACGGCAAGGTGATTTGCTCATTCGCTGCGATATAGCGATCGCTCACGAGCCAAAAGTGGTATTCCGATTGACCGTTCAGGTACGTGTCCAAGACAGCGTTTGGCTTGCAACTTCTGCGGACAAACCGGGCCTTCGATCCCTCTCGCCTGGTGTCGATGTAAAGCGGAAGCATCGGGTGGAAAAATACAAATGGCAGAGGGGAGGACAACTCCTCCCAAAGGTTGGCTGGCTCCGCGCAGTAGTCCTTCTGAAATCCTATTTGGCCGTTGAGCTCAATCAAAGGCACGTCTTTTTCGATAGCCGCGGGAGTTGCCAGATATTGCCAAGGCAGAACCGTGTCGGGTCCAAGTGAGAGCTTCTTGCTCTCAACTTGTAGCGGACGTTTCCGTGACTCGATATCGGCAGGAAGTTTGGCGAAGACGTCGTTGAATTCTTCGCCAGTTTCTTGTCTCATTCGTTCGGGCTCGCGGAGCCAGATGGACATGGTGTTGGAGATGTTGAGGCTAGCAAAGGAATTTGTTTCAACCTCTGGGGCGTCGACCTCCTTCTTGGTGAGGTTCAAAAACCCGTCGGAGTAGTTGTGTATTTGAAAATCACTCGGAAGATCTGGGGGCGTGGTAGCTGGACTGGGAGGATGGCCGTTGGTTTGGGCACGTCCGTTTCCGTACGAAGGGCTCCGCTTCGCACTCTGCGAACTTATCGAGTGTGAAGGTCGATGGGATGATTTCGTTTTTTTGGCTGGGGGAGGAGGATGGTCGCTCGGACTTCCGTGCTTTGCATTTTCTTGGCCCCCTGGGTGGCCGTTCAATTGCAATTCGTTGGGCTTCGGTTTTTTCTTGTGGCTTTTGGTAGGAAGCCGTTTGGTCTTCTTGTCTGGCGTTTCTCCCGAAGCACCGCCATTCTTCAGTCGACGGGTTCGCTCGATAGCCTTTTGCCGATCCAAAGGGCGTGGTTTGCAGTCAGCACACGAATGGGCAAAGTCCTCACGGAGAGCCTCCTCGCGGCTATTGGGGTAGAAGCACTCAATGTGCTGCCAGGTATCGCATGTCTCGCAGTAAATCGTGTTTCCGTCATCATCAGAGAAGTGACAAATACACTTGATAGTGTAGGGCTCTTCTTCCTCTACTGTCTCGACCTTTCGTGGAACATCGTGGGTTGAGACTGGTACACTCGGGGGAGCGAAGAGGGTCTGACTAGGAGTCGCGAGCTGCGTCGACACTGGCTGGGGCTTTTCTGTCATAATCTATGATTGCCTCGGAAGGGAGCTTGGAGTCGAGGTATGCGTGAGCTGATTACCGTAGCGGCTTGGGTAGCATGACGACGCCTGTACAGACGCGCAGGAACTAGTCGTCGAGGAAGCCGAAGGAACAGCGACGCCAGATGTTGTGGTCATTCGTCGGAGAATAGGCTGTCTCAGCAAAGTCGAGAGTCGTAGCGAAGATCGAGGGAAGGACTCGAAGAGCGGACGAGGCGGGTTCAAAGGGTAAGCCGTCCAGGAAGCCGAAAATCGAGGAATCGAGTTGGTCTCCGAGTCTCCAGCTGTGTCTAGGGACCAAATACGCCTTGTCGACACGTCACGAGGTTGTGTCGTGGGCGTCGGGTGGAAAAGTTTTCGAATGATCGCGAAGTGCGTGTGGCCACGGGGAGGCGTGGAAGGGCAGACGAAGTCGAGGTAAAGGGTTCAGCGGATGCGCCTCGTCGACGGTGAGGGATAGGACGGGTCGAAAGGGTGTATCGAGTCGAGGGTAGGTAGGATGATGAGGAATCCGAGTGGTTTCGACCGAAAATGAGGGAGAGAATGGTGATTTTGGCGACGAGGGTGAAGAGGGAAAAGAGATTGAGAGAGAGGAAGAGAGGGGGCACGACACGAAGGACTGGAAAGGATGGATGGATGGATGGGTCCCCAAGGAGAGGTAGCAGCAGCAGTACCAGCAGTCCCAAGCAGTAGCAGTGCGGTGCAGTGCGAGAGCGTGTGTGTGCGAGTTGAGCGAGACAGGTACCGGTGCAGGTGCGTGCGGACCAGAGACCAGGCCAAGCCGAAAAGAGAGAGGGCGAACGGGTAGGGGAACAGTGACTGCACTGCTCCTGTTCTGCTGGTCGGAACTGACTTGGGGTGTTGGGGGGCACCAGGACTGGGACCGAACCAGGACTGGCTGGGCTGGGCTGGCTGGCACCTTGTGCTTTGGTGCGCCGCTGCGGACTCGATGGGGGGGATGAGGGAGGGGGGGATAAGATGGGATTTTGGGGTGGAAGGAAAAGGAAGGGTGCCCGCGCAGACCCGTCACTCACCTGTGACCTCAGCTTCACCCATTGCCCTGGGTTGGTGCAACAGGTGGTGGGAGCATCGAGTGTAAGGTATGCGGCCTATTGCTGAAGGAGGCTTGTCGCTGTTGGGGAACACTGGCTCGACCACAGCGACCAGCCAGCAAACCCTGGGCCAGCCCGGTGGGCAAGCCAGCCGGAGCACACGCTGCCTGAGAAAAGAGAAGGCGAGCAAGAGACAGCCTAGAGGGAGACTTCTCTTCTCTGTGGCTCTCGACGGGCTTGGAGGGAGGAGACGACGGGGGACTCGAAAGCCAAAGCCCGTGGGTTCAGGAAAACAGGGTACGAAGGTACCAGTACTTACTTGGAGCTAGTCCCGAAAGGCGGTGGACACTTTGATATGAGTGGCTACGGCAGTCCAATCAGCCCTTTAGCGCAGAAATGCGGGTGCCTCAGGCAGACGCGGTTTCAGGCCGCAACCAGACAAGAGATGGCCCGTCTGATGAAGGACTGACGACTGCCTGTTAGCCCTCCGCACCAGAAGGTCAGCCAAAATATGAGCGGGGGGGAAAGAAGCAAAATCTTGGTTTGGCAGGAAGAGACTCATCCAGGCCAACAACGTATGTCCTCGAGAAAAATGTGTTTGACGAGAAGATGAGATGCTCTGATCATCTTGATGAGAAGCGGGCTTGCTGCCAACGTTGTAAACAAAAGGGAACGGCCAGTCTCGTCGGCCGCGAGTGGAGGGACAAGAGACGGCATGCAAAGATTTAATGAGTAATAAAAGAGAAGAAATGGGCGGCAGAGAGTGTGATTGTTGGTGTGCGTTGGAGGTGACCCTCGCTGGGCCCTAGTAGGAACGGGTGTGACGGGAACGGCGGGGGGGAATGGAACGGGCGGAGGAAGAGGAGACGACTGAGAGAGAGAGAAAGAGGCGGCCGGAAGAGAGGGGGTGAGAGACGGTGACCCGCGCGACGGTAACGGTAAGGTATCCGCCAGACGGCGAGGCAAGGGACTGTGCGGACGCATTCTGTCCTTCTGGCTGCGAAAGGCTCAGCAGGAAAGAAACGGGATAGCAGCAGAGGCAAACGCAGCCAGCCAGGCGAGTAAGGGCGTACGTGCAGACGCCAGAAGCCCCTAAAGCAATAACAAAGTGTGCGTATAGTATGTCTGGCCCGAATGTGTGCGAATGTTTGCGTGTGTGCGTGCGGGAAGGCGAATGAACGAACCCAAGACGGACGGCACAGGAGAATGAGAATGTCAGCGTGGTTTGGTCTCGTTGATCGGGCGGTGTTGTGAGAGTTCCAGAGACGGGGAGGCGAGGATTGAGCGGCTTGGAAAACCAGCAGAATCTGCGACCGAGAATCGGGGGTTTCCATGGCTTTCATCCCGTTAAGACGACGACATGAGGCCAGGCAGATTATGCGCAATTTTTTAAAAATAGGAGATGCCCGAGTGACATGGCAGCTTGGTGTTGGCTGCCTGTGGCCGCATGTACCTCTCGCCTCCATGTGGCCGTCTTTGCCTGCACTCGCACCACTCCCGTGTGCTGCCTGGAGGCTACGAGTGGACATTCTTTTCTGATCGGGGAGCGAGCCAGGTCACCATCCAGTCTCGGGCGCCAGGGCTACGGCCACACAGCGTGCGCGATGAGAGACAAGTCGGAGGACCCTCAAGGACTTGGAGCCTGGAGGACGAAGGGACCAAGGGAGGATGGCCCAATGGGATCGGTGCAGGCCAACCGTGACGGCGCCCCTCGCCTCCACTCACCAGAGAGCGAGTCCAGCCGGGCCGCCCACAAGTCGCCTCCTACGCAGCCAGTACCTTGAGCCAGCGCTCGAAGGAGAGCTTCTGGCCTGCATTCTGCGGTGTCTATGAAAGCCTGCCTGGGCAAAGGCAAGATCCAATGGGACAAGGTTCGGCGAGCCGGTAGAGTTAGAAGGGCGTCTAGAGTTTGTACCAGTGCACGCTACCGTGTTAGGTAAAGACTTTGGGAACCTAAGGTTAGCACTACCTACCTACCAAGAGAGATACATACGGGCAGGCATCCACTGACGAGAAAAAGGCTGAGGACTCGGGACTCCGACTTCGAATTGGCTCCCCGCTGCGCAGCGTCGCGTCGCTCTTGTCTCGAGTCTCAACTCAACCCTCGCGCTCCCTTCTCATTGGCCACAACAGCCATCTGAGAATGGCCGACGGGGTCTTACGGCAAGGGCCTAATATCATCGTGCATGGAGCTATTCTGTTGTCGCTGCTCCTCCGCCTGCTTCTCCCTCCACTCCCTGCAGCTACACACACCTCACAGTCGGTCCGCCCAGTCATGGCCCACTGGCCTTGCTGCCTGCTACTTACAGACCTGCATTTTGCATGCGACATGTCGTCGGAGTCGACAAACAATTCGGCGATTCAGATGGCAATCTTGTCGGGATTGGTGCCGTCGCCAGACTGAAAATGCCGTCTCGCCTGCAAGCCGACCACCGCTGTCACCCGCGAGATTGATGACTGCAGCAAACCAGACCTCCACGACCATCTGCCACCATCACCGCTCCGTCTTCATCATCATGCTTCCGTCATGCGTCGCTCTCCAACGGAAACGCCTACGGTTTGCAACAGGGCATGTCATCATCATCACCATCGCATCAAAACGTCGGCAATGAGTGCCCATGTTCGCCCCCTCCAGATCGCCCCCTCAAAAAGCGCTGCGACCTCAGCAATCCCACGCCGCCCTTACTGAGTAGGTAGACTCTTTCGCTGCGCCCATGGATGTCGATGGCTTTGCTGGCTTCCGTCTTCTCCAAACCGGCTCACCCCTCATCTGGGAAAGCCAGGTCGGCCTCCAAATGTTTGGTAAATGGCACGCTGCCTTAAACTTTACGCGACATGGCGACAAGGGGTATTGCCTTTTGGGCTGCTTAGGTGTCATCAATCTGCCTCAGCAGTCATAGTTATACAAGTACCGGTACTTGTATCAGTCGTATCTTGTCAATGCTTCCACCCAGCGCAACTGCGCACCTTGAAATGCGACTACGCGCGGCGCCTTTGCGCATCTTTCGCTTTTGCTCTCACCATCTGGCGCTGCTATTGGAGCGACACGCCTCGGGTCCTCGATCCAGCAACGCCCTGGCTGATCCAACTGCACCTGTACAACGTAAAGGAGACAGTGGTGCACGCAGCGAGAGGCCTGGCCTCGCCTCGCCTCAAGTAGCCGTCGTGTGGAGGTTTCTTTTCTTCCTGCGCCCTGATCAGATCGACATGGGAAAGGGCGCTACTTGGCTTTTCGCCCCCGCCCGTCCTCCCTCCAACAACTGACAGTCAGCAGCCCAGGCAAAACAGACAAACAAAACAAAGAGTCGCGACTCTCGAACGCCCATCCGCCTCCAGCTGGCGTCAGGACTCCCGACATGATTCGCGGCCAGTGTTTTGTTGGCTAGGATCTCCCTGTCCAGCAATTGCATGCTCGAGGCCTAACAAAAAAGTTTGCGACACTGATAGCCCAGGCGACATGCTGAAGTGTCCGGTACTTGAAGCACCTACGGCCGGCCTACAGTCCGTAGGTACGGTGCCCTAATTTTCGTCCAAGAAGCAGGTTGGCCCATCCCTCGCACGTCTCTCACCATCGTCCACTGCAGCGGAAGCCCTTCCTGCGCTGGCTTCCCTGCACTCGACACACCTGTGATTGGGTCGTGGCCGGACGGGCGACCATGCGACCCCTAAAAAGAACAGCTTCCCATCGTGGGCAATGCATAAGGTGGGTGTGGCTCCTGCTGTTGTGGCTACCTTTTCCTCAGGTAATCATCCATGCAGCAGTACGCCTCTTGAATCGCGGGAATCTGGCTGTCCAATCACGAAACCTGCGCACTCGGGACTTGGAGATGGTTAGATCGGAAGCCGGGCCATGCTGCGCTGGCCCTGACACCGGAGAGCTTGAGGAGGACAGAGCTTGTGACTGGGGGAGAGGGAGGGAGAGACGCCTGTGTA